TGCATTAACACTCACAATATGGCACAGCATCACACTTCGTGCATTAACACTCACAACATTGCACCGCATAATCCTTCGTGCATTAACACTCTCCCTTACCATAGAGCAATGAACAAATAACAACAGGGAGATAGAATAACAAGAACAAGTCTTACTTCAACATTTGGTTCCACAATACCAACCTCAACTTTGAAATCAATTCTCAATTATCACCAAAAATTCGTAGACATGATAAGAACGATCAATTTAATAATAACTAGTCTAAACATGGATAACATGATCAAAGAAAGCAATAATTACAAGAATTAAGTCCCACCAGCATGCTTAAACCCGACAACAACGCATAAGTACTCGACACCTCACATATACGTTATACCTAACATCTAAACACATAGCAAATAGACAAATAAATCTTATTCCCTGAAGTCAAGGTTAACCATGACACTTACTTCGCTCCAAAAGCCAAACTCACAGCTCAACCACAACTTTGCCTTTCAAACAAGCCTCCGAACCAATAGAATCTAACAATTTACCAACCAAACAATTCAAATTATGTCATAGGAACTACCCACGATTGCAAAGAATTCAATTTAAGGTATTATTTAAAAAGTCAACAAAAGTCAATACCCGGGCCCGCTTGTTCCAAACTCAAAATTCGGACCAAAACTTGATTACCCATTCACCCCCGAGCCCAGTTATGTAATTTATTTTGGAATCCGATCTCAATTTGAGGCCTAAATCCCCATTTTTCAAAAAAAATAAATTCTAACCAAAACCCCCAATTTCCACCATGAAAACATAAGATTTTTGGTTGAAATCTAAGAAAATATAGTGGAAGATTGAAAGAAACTAGTGTAGAATCACTTACCAATGATTTGGAGAAGAAAAATTCTTTGAAAAATCGCCTCTAGGGTTTTCTTGTTTGAAAATTTGAAGAATGAACCAAAAATCCCGTCTAAGTTATATTTGATCAGTTGCAGATGTCGCATTTGCGACCTGGGGTTCGCATTTTACAAATGCGAAGGATCAATCGCGAATGTGAAGACCATCACACCTCTGCTATCTTCGCAAATGCAAAGAATAGTTCGCAAATACGAAATTGACCATCCGCAATTGCGGCCACTTGATCGCATTTGCGATCATTGCCCCCTCCTGTCCAACTTCGCAAATGTGAATATAAGGTGGCCTAGCTACTCTTCGCAAATGAGCAACTCGCAAATGCGAACCCCTCAGAGGTCACAAATGCGATGCCTGACCTCGCAAATGAGAGATTAGATGCCTGCACCAGAACTGAAAATACCTGCAACATTTCTAAGTCCAATTTCACTCCGTAGCCTATCCAAAAGTCACCCGAGCCCTGGAGGCTCTAAATCAACTATACACATAAGTCTAAAAACATCATACAAACTTACTCGTACGATAAAATCGCCAAAATAACACCTAGAACTACGAATTGAAAACCAAATCAATCGAAATTTTCAAGAAAACATTGAAACTTCTATTTTTACAACCAGATGTTCGAATCATGTTAAACCAACTCCGTTTCTCACCAAATTTCACAGACAAGTCATAAATATAGTATTGGACACGGCTCCAAAACTAAAATACGGACCGGATATCCAAAAGTCAACCATTTGTCAAACATTTCAAATTCATTATGCATTTAACTTTCAAATTTCAGCAAAGCCCGATAACTCGGGTTAGGGACCTCCGAATTTGATTCCGGACATACACCCAAGTTCCAAATCACAATACGGACCCACGGGGACCGTTAAAACACGAATCCAAATCTATTTGCTCAAAATATTGACCGATGTCAACTCAAATGGTTTCCAAGCAAAAATTTCATACACAATTTTTAACATCAAAGCTTTCCGAAAACATGCCCGAATTGTGCACGCAAATCAAGGAGGATTAAAAATGAGGTTTTTAAAGCTTCGAAGCACATAATTGGGTTCTAAAACATATGACATATCGGTCATCACAAATTAAGCCCAAACATCGGACATATAATCATTAAAACAATGTAAGGCAGGTAATACACTAAAAATATATACTTATAGCCAATTATTAGTAATGAACATTCGCTTAAAAAGAATCAAACATTCATTAAAAAATTATACTCCCTCCGTATCAAACTAGATGAGGTACTTTTTAGTATGTTCCAAAATAAATAATACATTTCTAAATTTGGAAATAATTCTACTTTAAACTCTTCATTTTATCCATTTTACTGTTAATGAGAAACTTTTATAATCACACAAATGTCATAGTCCCACAAATTTTTTACCGTTAAGCTTTTAAGACCACAAGCTCCAAAAGTCTTATTTTTTCTTAAACTTCGTGTCGAGTCAAACTACCTCATCTAAATTGAAGCGGATGAAGTATGCATTTAATATTTTCAAGAATTATTAATCCTAATATTACAATCTCTACATTATGATTCTGCCGTAACTTTGTCTATGAACCTAACTATCCTTAGTATTTGCAGAAGTATGTCTAACTACAATAAACAAAGAGCCACTAAACCTTCCAGAACATCCTAGGATTACCTTGTTTAACCATGTTTCTGCAAATTTCAGATTCCCACACGATCATTTCGTAATAGTCAATAACCTACTGCAGCAGTTTATCTAGTTGTAGTGATCAGATTCGGCAACTGACTAAAAAGTAGAACGTGAAATGCTAGTGTACCAATGTAAATTTGATTCTGTACAAGCTCCAAATAGTCAAATTATGTCAGAATTTTAAAAGACTAATTGAGTGAAATAGTTGGTTCCAATTATTTGAAATGTGGTAATGTTCACGCCCAAGTTTTATTCGCAGTTGAGGAATTATAAAGTTAGCTCCAGGTGGGCAATTAGAAAATTCAGCTATTCCTTATTCCATTTACATGGGATAATAATGATTAATGAATCCCCCTTCACTTCATATATACCGTTGTGCTCCATATCTGATCATTGATCCAATGACGAATATTAACTATATTATAATTAACAGAATACAAATTATTCGACCCTTAATTGGTTGATGATTTTCCTGATTCCTCTTGTTTCCAAAACCTACTTTATTCCATTTTGACTCCCAACGGTAGAATCATTTCTCCATTAATGAATCCCTCTTTTTGCTTGCTAATTTAAATGGACAATTGTGGATGTTAACGAAATAAGTTAACACAACAAATTATTACATCTCAAACTTAAAATTAGTTAGAATCAGATATATAGACGAATACTTCATACTCATTTCACGTCATTTTGGACCTGTTAGCGGGAAATATATAGGAAATTTTACCACCTATAGAATAGGTTAGTACCCTATTTATATTAAATAAATACCATTTTAAAATATTGCATTTTATAAATACCTTTTATAGTTTATAGCAAAAAATCTAAATATAGTTTCATCCTACAATTAAGGCACCATATATGCTACAAAATATTTTTCTCTCATTTTTTATATTTTCTCTCACCTAATTAGCGTATATTTCCTCTAACCAGCTTTTCTCTCTCTTCTTCCATACACTTTACCCTCTTCTCCCACAAACCTACGTTTCATAAATCTTCTTCCACCCTAAATCTCTATTTCTCCGTCATTGTCACCTCTACTCTCTTCTCCCACATACCCACGTTACTCAAATTCTTTGTCCTCTCTGTATTTTCACAGCATAATCAATCTTTATTATTATTTGGCATACAAAAACAGATCTATAAAACAACAAATTTCAGCAAGAAAAACGGAAGAAATATAGAGATAGAGAAAGTAGAGGAGAAAGAGATCTAACCGTCCATCTCAACGATAGGGTTTTCAACCTTGATTTTGTCGAAAGCCATGTTTACAGATGAAAGAGGTGAAACTGTATTCACATGTATTCAGCAACATTCATTTATATATTTTAGATGTATTAAAAAGTTGTGATTATTCTCTTGTATTCAGTTTTAATCAGTTGTAATTAACTATTTTATTCAGCAGTAGTTAGTTGTATTCAAGTGTTTTATACAACTGTATTCAGTTGTATTCAGTTGTAGTTAGTTATATTCAACTATTTTATTCAGCAGAAGTTAGTTGTATTTTGTTGCATTCAAGAGTTTTATTCAGCTGTATTCAATTGTATTTTGTTGTATTCAATAGAAAAAAAGGAGAAGAGAATTGAGAAGTTCGATCAGATGTGTTGCTCTGGTTTTTCCTTCTTTTCACGTTTTTGAGTTGCTTTCTTTGAGCAAAATACAAATTAGTGTGTACTCGTTTTAGTTCTTTGAGTTAAATTAGGAGACTATCATGTGATTTGATTTTCTTCCGTTTTTAACAAGTTTAAGTTCCCAGAATTTGCGCAAAAAAGTTACTGTATTTCACTGAAATTTTGCTTGAATACAGTTAAATACAGCTGAAATTTCGCTTGAATACAGTTAAATACAAATAACACTTAGCTGGATTTTCCGTTTTTACGCCTATTTTTTTTCTTGTATTAATGAATACAACCGTTTAAATACATGAAATACATTGTATAAAAACATAAAAGATATCTATAGAGCGTAATATAGCAAAAGATATCTATAAATGACTAATTATGACTAAAAGATGGTGCTTTGTGAAAAATTCTCAAATATATATGTACAATTTCTTCAAGTATATCGTAATTACATAATCTTGAACCGCCCATGCTGCTAACTAAGCTAGGGAAACTTTGCTCTGGTGCATTGAGTAGAAAACTTGATCCCAAAATCGAGGGAAAATCTTTATTTACTGATTATGTGAATGCTTTCTTATCATCCAAATACAACTAATTACCACAATTTCATAAGGACGCCGCAGGAAACTGAGGGGCTTAATTATCAATGCAGACAGATTTAAAAAAAGGAGAAAATTCACCTATCGCCTATAGTGCATGGAAAAGATAAACATGATGATTTGGGAAACGAATTAGATTCCACAAAATATAATCTGTGTTATAAGCTTGATTATTCGTACCTTAGTGTTGTAAGAAAAGCAAAGAAGCAGTGGGTTGGTAGTAGGCATGGAGAAAATAGACAAAGAGGCAACTAAGAGTGAAATCATGAGGTACAGAGGAATCAGAGCCATGCCCTTTATCATAGGTAATAGTTATTAATACACTCTGCTCATTTGTGAGATGTATCATTTTCTTTATACCATTTTCCAATTGTAGGGAATGAGACATTTGAGAAGCTAGGAACAATTGGGAGTTCATCAAACCTCTTGGTTTATCTGACTAGTATTTTTCATTTGAAGACCATAACAGCTACTAATATCATCAATATCTTCAATGGAACTTGCAACTTTGGCACCTTGCTTGGAGCTTTCCTCTCTGACACCTATTTTGGGCGTTACAGAACTCTTGGATTTGCTTCAGTCTCTTCTTTCTTGGTTATAATCTTCTTTACTAATAGCTGTCAAGAAACACTAATTTTGAAACACAAAAGAAGTTGCTAATTAATTTTTCTTTTCAAGAAATCTTCCTTCTGATACCCGAACTTCGTGATTGTAGGGAATGCTTGTTCTGACTTTGAGTGCAGCAATATCGAGGATGCACCCTCCCGTGTGTGGAAACCAAGAAGCCGCGTCATGCGTTGGGCCAACAACAAAGCAAATGACATTTTTGCTAATTGGCTTTGGTTTGCTGGTTATTGGTTCTTCTGGCATTAGGCCTTGTAATTTGGCATTTGGAGCTGACCAATTTGATCCCAACACTGCACCAGGAAGAAAAGGAATCAGTAGCTTCTTTAACTGGTATTACTTCAGTCTTACATTTGCTATGATGGTTTCCTTGACTGTGATTGTGTATGTGCAATCAAATATCAGCTGGTCTCTAGGATTAGCCATCCCCACAATTATGATGTTCCTCTCTTGCGCACTTCTCTTCGCGGGCACTAAAATCTATGTAAGAATGGTACCAAAAGGAAGCCCTTTGTCAAGTGTGGAACAGGTTTTTGTAGCTGCATTCAAGAAAAGGCACTTGCAGCTCGCGGAACAACCATGTGTCGCCCTCTTCAACTACGTCTCTTCCGATTCGTTGAATTCCAAGCTTTGCTACACTGATCAGTTCCGGTAATTCCTCTTGCCAGACATGAATATAATCCAAATTTGAATATTAACTTTTTGACTGACCTAAACAAAAATAGCTTTTTCTATTAGATTCTTGAACAAAGCGGCGATAAGAACCCCAGAAGATGAGATAAACTCGGATGGATCTGCAGCTGATCCGTGGAGGCTTTGCAGCATTCAGCAAGTTGAAGAAGTGAAATGCTTACTGAGAGTAGTACCAATATGGGTTGCTGGAACTGTATATTATTTGTCTGTTGTCCAACAACAGAACTATGTAATCTTCCAAGCCTTTCAGAGCAATAGACAATTAGGCCATAACCATTTCCGTATCCCACCAGCATCTTTCATTGTCTTTCCCTTCCTATGCATATCCATTTGGCTACCCATCTATGACCGCATTTTACTTCCATGGCTCCGAAAATTCACAAGGAAAGAAGATGGTATAACCCTTCTCCAGAAGATGGGAATTGGAATGTTTATCTCTATCATCACAATGATCATATCAGCTATCGTCGAAGACAGGAGGAGAAGCCTAGCACTAACTAGGCCGACGTTGGGGATAACTCAGGAGAAAGGCGCCATTTCATCCCTGTCAGGACTGTGGTTAATACCTCAGATGACATTATCAGGTCTTACTGAGGCACTTACATTATTCAGTGAGAGTGAATTCTTTTACAAACAATGTCCAGAAAACATGAGGAGCATTGCAGGATCTTTCCTTTTTGTTGGAATGGCAGGGTCTAGTTATTTAAGCAGTTTATTTTCTTCAGTTGTTCACAAGACATCAAATTGGTTGGCTGAGGATCTTAACAAGGGAAGATTGGACTACTTCTTTTACCTCATTGCAGTGCTGCAGATTCTGAATTTGGGTTATTTTCTTCTATGTGCTAAATGGTACAAGTACAAAGAAGCAGGAAGTAACACCAAATTGAGTGAGTCAAAAGAACAATCTTGAAAACCTCCAGTGTGATATCAAAATCAGATTGCAATATATTACCTCTTTAATGATTATATTATAAATAATGGCAAAGATTGTAAGGTTGACTGGATTGTAGCCTTGAAGTGTAACAGTCTAATACCAAATTTTAGGCGTTAAGTGTCACGACCCGGATTCCCACCCTCAGGAGTCGTGAAAGTGCCTATTAGTACGATCTAGGCAAGTCAATTAATTGCACAATTTACCTTTTTACTCATTTTATATTCATTAACAATTTCGAAATAATAACATTTAAACAACGGAATTTAACACAAGCAGAAGAAAGAAACAATAAGCTATCTAAACATGAATATCTAATACAACTGTTTGAGTCTCAACTACCCAGAACTGGTGTCACAGTTTCACAGACGATCTAAGAATACTACAAATAAAGGGTCTGAAAGGAATAAATACAACAATGTCTCTAGAAATGCAAGAAACAAACAGGAATAGTAGATAGAAGGAGACGCCAAGGCCTGCGGACTCCTGTAGGACTATCTTGGGTCGTCTGATGATCAAGAATCAGCAATCTCACTGCGGTCCGAAGTCCACAACACTAGGGTCTGCACAAAGAGTGCAGAGTTTAGTATCAGCACAACTGACCCCATGTGCTGGTAAGTGCCTAGCTTAACCTTGGCGAAGTAGTGACGAGGCTAGGACCAGACTACCAAATAAACCTGTGCAGTTCAAATATATACAGCGGAAAGAAATAAACAATTAAAGATAGGAGGGGGAAACATGCTTCGGGGACTAACAGGTAGAACAGAATATCAAGAGAATTATAAAGGAATCAAAATCAACCACTAACAGGAATAAGGAAAATAAAGGCAGATTTCACTTTCTTTTCACATCTTGTTGCAGGCGTGCAACCCGATCCCATTTCATGTATCTCGTGGCAGGCATACCACCCGCTCCCATTTCATTATATCTCGTGGTAGGCGTACCACCCGCTCCCATTTACAAGCCAACAATAGTCAAGAAGAATCCCGGCAAGGGAACAATAATATCAACAAACAATATCTCGGCAAGGGAACAATAATATCAACAAACAATATCCCGGCAAGGGATAAACAACTATAACCAAACTCGTTACAACATCTAACTACCTCAGCTATAACCAAACTTGTTACAATACCTAACTACCTCGGCTCTAACCAAACTCGTTACCACATCTAACTACCTCAGCTATAACCAAATTTGCTACAACACCTAACTACCTCAGCTATACCCAAATTTACTACAACGCCTAACTACCTCGGCTATGACCAAAATTGTTACAACACCTAACACAAAGAATCATCAACCTAAACATCCGTAATATCAATTAAGAACACAATGCAGGGGAACCACAACTCCGCAATAGCCCGGCAAGGGGGCAACATAATGATCTCTTCTCTTTCTCACTTTTACTTCACAATTCACTTCACAACTCGAACCAATGCTCTAGATTTTCAATTATCACTTATACTTTCACAATTCGTTATACAATTGGAGCCAACGCTCCTCAATGTACATAGGTCACAATTCTTTCCACAACTTTACACAACAAATAGAAATCTTCACCAAGGCCTGAATAATACAACGAAATCATAAAAATCACAATATAAGACTCACGGTCATTCTTGACACCAACGTATAGATACTCGTCACCATGCATATACGTCATACTCAACAGGAATCAAATAGCAAATAGGACACTACCCCTAATCCCTCAAGCTAATGTTAGACCAAGCACTTACCTCGAACTTCTATGGCCAACTCGAGCCTCAAACACCGCTTTTCCTTTCAAATTTGGCTCCAACCCAATCGAATCTATACATAATCGACTTAATAACATCAATAAATGCTAAACAATCCAATTCCAATGTTTAATTATAACTTTCCAATCATTCTTCCCAAAAACCCAAAAATCGACCCCAGACCCGCTTTGTCAAAACACGAGGTTCAGACCAAAATTAAATCACTCATTCACCCACGAGCCCAAATATATAATTATCTTCAGAATTCGACCCCAAAACGAGGTCTAAATCACAATTAATCAAAAAGCCCTAACTTTACCCAAATTCCTAATTTTCTACCCTTAATCTCATGTTTTAGGCCTAGAAATCTAGTGGGTGTTGATGAAAATTGAAGAAAACAAGTTAAAGATTACATACCCAAGAGATTATGGTGAATAAATGCTTCAAAAGTCGCCCCAGAGCTTTGGAGAAGAAGAAGTTTATGAAATTTTTATGAAATCTCGAAAGTGTTCTGTTTTTGGTCTTTTAAAATCACTGGGCGAAAACACTCTTCACGTTCGCGACAGACCCTTCGCATTCGCGATGGGTCAGGCTGGTTAAGCCTTCGCGTTCGTGTAAACGGACTCGCATTCGCAAATCTTTAGCTTCTCGAGCCCTCGCGTTCGCATCCAACGGGTCACGTTCACGTAAGACAACTACCCCTCCCCTTGCCCAGGCCCATTTGGCCTTCGCGTTCGCGTGGCCAGGTCCGCGTTCGCGAAGGTATAAACCCCCATTGCCTCGCGTTCGCGTCCTGCGCTACGCGTTCGCATAGAAGGATTTCCCTTCAGCAACAATTAACCTATCGCGTTCGCGTGGGTACTCCCGCGAACGCGAAGAAGAAAATACCAGAAACCCAACAACTGAAAACCTGCAATTTTTCTTAAGTCCGAAACCTTCCGAAACACACCCGACCCCTCGGGGCTCCTAACCAAACATACGTACTAACTCAACAATATTATACGAACTTATCTGTGCGATCAAATCACCAAAATAACCTCAATAACAACGAATTAAACCTCAAAATCAAAGGATTTTTCTCAGACTTCATAAAACATCAACTTTAGCAATTTAGGTCCGAATCACGTCAAACGACGTCCATTTTTCACCAAATTTTTCAGAAATGTCTTAAATCATATATAAGACATGTACTGGGCGCTGAAACCAAAATATGGGCCCGATACTATCACATTCTAATCGATTTTCATTTCAAATTTTCTTAAACAATTCAGAAAATAATTTTCTTTAAAAATTCATTTCTCAGGCTTGGGACCTCGAAATTCGGTTCCGGGAAAACGCCCATGTCCCATCAAACACCGAGTCACATATGCAATAATATCCTTCTTCATTCTACGCCACCAATAATGCTGCCGCAAATCCTGATACATCTTCGCGGTGCCCAGATGAATAGAGTACCGGGAGCTATGGGCCTCCTCTAAGATCAACTCCCGAAGCCCATCCACATTAGGCACACAAACTCGACCCTACAATCTCAAAACTCCATCATCATCTAAGGTAACCTACTTGGCATCTCCGCGCTGCACCGTGACTCTAAGGACACACAAATGGGGATCATCATACTATCGATCACGGATACGCTCCAATAAAGAAGAACGAGCGACCGTGTAAGGTAATACACGACTAGGCTCAGAAATACCCAGCCTCACAAACCGATTGGTCAAAGCGTGAACATCCAAAGCAAGCGGTCTCTCACCGACCGGAATATAAGCAAGACTGTCATACTGGCTGACTTCCTACACAAAGCATCGGCCACCACATTGGCCTTTCCCGGATGATATAAGATGGTGATATCATAGTCCTTCAACAACTCCAACCATCTCCTCTGCCTCAAATTCAACTCTTTTTGCTTGAACAAATACTGAAGACTCTTGTGATCCGTGAACACCTCACATGCCATGCCATACAGATAATGCCTCAAAATCTTTGATGCGTGAACAGTGGCTGCCACTCTAAGTCATGAACCGGATAGTTCTTCTCATGAATCTTCAACTACCGCGAAGCATAGGCAATGACCTTGCCATCCTGCATCAACACTGCACCAAGTCCAATACGAGATGCAATCATAATAGACTGTACAAGGCCCTGAACCTGTAGGCAAAACCAACACCGGTGTCATAGTCAGAGTTTTCTTGAGCTTCTGAAAGCTCGCCCCACACTCGTCCGACCATCTGAACTGGGCACCCTTCTGGGTCAACCTGGTCATCGGGGCTGCGATATATGAGAACCCCTCCACGAATCGACGATAGTAGCCTGCCAATCCTAAGAAACTCCGAATCTCTGTAGCTGATGCTGGTCTAGGCCAGTTCTTGACTGCCTCGATCTTCTTCGGGTCAACCTGAATACCCTCTGCTGATACAACATGACCCAGGAATGCAACTGAACTCAACCAGAACTCATACTTCAAGAACTTAGCATATAATTGACTATCCTTCAGAGTCTGAAGAACCACTCTGAGATGCTGCTCGTGCTCCTCCTGGCTGCGG